GGTCGAGCCCTCGAACCTGGGTCGAGCCTCTATACCTCTCTCGAGTGAAGTGCGCCGCAATAGGGAACCGCCGCGGTGGAGAGTGGGAAATTACTCACGCAGTGCGAGTTCGTTCCTCAGATCAGGCTATAAAGTAATGCGCCGGCGAACGGAACGCACGGAATCAGGGCTCCGAGATACCGAGTGTAGTGCTACACTACCACATGTTCTAGCGATGGCTGACGAAACGAGGCCGAGGGATACGTTGCTGAGTCGTGTGAAGGAGCAGGGCGAAGTAGTGCGGCGATTAAAGGCCGCAAAGGTCGATAACACGCAGGTACGCGAACTCAACCCTTCAAGCTTTTCCCCTCCTCTGCCTCGGGGAAAACCTCGGCGCGTCGTTTACCCGTGACAGATGTATCTCCTTTCTCTTCCTTGTCCTCGAAGGGAATTCCGCACCGCTCCGCTCCACCTCATACTCAATTACACCCTGTCATCGTATCACTTCCGCGAAATCAGCCGCACTCGAAACTTTTGGTCTTTTCATCTTAAGCGATTACCTCAAACGTTTTTATCTTCCACGTTGCATAATGCTCCCTGATTGACGTCTCGATCTCTCTTTCATGTGATTGTTGTGCTAGATAAATGTCAGGTCTGTTGGCTTTAGTTGTAGCAGCCTGTTCGGCTTTCTTCTCATAAGATCTAACAGAGCACGAAACTGATTCTTCTTTCCTAATAATGAAAATGCAATTAGAACGAACAGACCTTTCGTAACAATGGATATGATGCAACAAGTCCCTCGCAATATAACAGCAATCTTTACTGAGCAGATGCAAAGAATAGATTTCTCTTTCTCTTTTTATCGCCAATGTTCTAAGCCTTTCTTTAGAGAGACATCTCGTTTCTCAGGAGTACAGAGAGCAGTCTGATATAAATATTGAATTAGAAGGCTTAAATGGTGATTTTGCGGATATCAGTTATGTGTGTGGTTGGTACCCAACATCCAAAGACGCTGAACTGTTCGACACATTGTCTACCGTCCTTAATGATGAGCTTGCAAGGTGGCCGCATCTGAACAGATGGTATATTAACATGAAAAGCTTTAGTCAGGAAGAGCGTTCCTGTCTAGCATTTCCTGCTGTGGAAGCACCACTCACTTCTTTGGCAGAAAAAATCAAGCGATTAAAAGGCACTAACTATATTAGCAAAAATATGCTAGACAAAAAGGTGAGGCAGCTGGTTGCTTGCAAGCAGAGCTGTTATAAATTATTGTAAAATTGCTGTGGCTAACATTCAGAAACAATTTTCTTAACTGAGAAACTCAGTAAAAGCTTTTACATGGCAGAAATTAGATGGATATAGTTTGGAAAACGAATACATGGTTCTGAAAAGAAGCTGAATTTCCTAAAAAAAATTCCATGTATTTTCTTCTAAATTCTGATAAAGTTAAAAACAAAATTTATGGAGAAAGAGATTAAAGACACTCAATCTCTGTTAACTGTAGACTATAGCAATAATTAATGACAGCCTCGTACTAGCTTGCTTACTGATATTATCTCTGCTGTTTGGACTAGTTTGATAAATCAAGAGATTGAGGGAGCTTTTCTCTTTCATTCTGGTTGCCTTGTAATTCCTTCATCCATTCACGATGTTACGCCTGATACACAACAATTCTTTCTCCATCGTATGGAAACGCAATCGCAACGTACTGATGTCCACGACGCCACAGGTGGGTACGACGTTCTCGACTATCGTACCCTGGATATCTGAGAATAAGAGCGATGCCATGTTTCGCATATTAATGACGTGTTCATTTGCCTGTTTGTAGATAGCAGAAGAAGTTGCCAAGTTGTTGGATCTGAAAGCACAATTAGGAGAGGAGAATGGTTGCCCTCATAAACTCATCCTCAAAACGCCAAAAGGTACAAGGGATTATAATCCGGAGCAAATGGCGCTGCGATTGGGAGTGTTGGAAAAAATAGTATCAGTATTCAAGCGTCATGGCGCTGAGACGATAGATACACCTGTATTTGAGCTAAAGGTAAGAATAAAAGTAAAGATTGTTATAAAAAGCAATATTAATTGCAATTTTATTAATATTAATAATGATCTCCTGTCACAGGATGTCTTGACAGGTAAATATGGTGAAGACTCCAAGCTTATCTATGACTTAAAGGATCAAGGTGGCGAAATTCTTGCACTTAGATACGATTTGACAGTTCCTTTCGCGAGGTATTTGGCCATGAGCAAAATTTCTTCTATTAAAAGATATCACATTGCCAAGGTCTATCGAAGAGATAATCCAGCCACAACGAAAGGCAGATACAGGGAATTTTATCAATGTGTAAGTACAATATATGCATATTATACGGTTCAGGAATATTTCATTGACATTGACATTTTGGCATTGATATTTTGAACCAATTTAATTTGGTATCTTCAAGGATTTCGATATCGCAGGCCAGTATGATCCAATGTTACCAGATGTAGAATGCATTCGGGTTGTGTGTGAAGCGTTGGAAGCTCTAAATCTTGGACCATATTTAATTAAGGTGAATCATAGATCTTTATTGGACGGCATATTCGCCGCGTGTGGTGTGCCACAGAATAAATTTCGCAGCATCTGTTCCTCCGTGGATAAGCTAGACAAGAGTCCATGGGAGGAGGTAAAGAAAGAAATGACGGATGAGAAAGGATTGGACGAACATATTGCTGATAAAGTCGGCAAGTATGTCTCGCAATCTGGTGGAGTGGAACTAATAGCCGAGTTGAGGAAAGACAAAGAGCTAATGAAACAGTCTGTCGCTGTGCAAGGTTTAGACTCTATGGAACTGTTACTAAAGTACTGCGGCATCTATAAAATTCTGGACAAAATTAAATTTGATTTGAGTCTCGCGAGAGGACTTGATTACTATACGGGTGTTATTTACGAAGCTATATTATGTGGTACGCATATTGATTTTTTTTTCTTAAATTTTCTTTCTATATTACATGACGGAAATAATTCTAGCAAAATACATATTAATAGTGTTCATTAATTCTTCGTAGGAGACGATGTCGGTGTTGGAAGTGTAGCAGGTGGCGGCCGTTACGATAATTTAGTGGGAATGTTCGATAGCAAGAATAAAAATGTACCTTGTGTTGGCGTATCGGTCGGTGTGGAGCGGATATTCAGTGTTATGGAAGCAAAATTGGCGAACAAGGGCCTAAAAACGCGTACTACTGAGATCGAGGTGTTTGTAGCGAGTGCGCAAAAGAATCTGCATGAGGAGAGGATGAAAATACTGGTGGATCTGTGGAACGCCGGTGTAAAGGCGGAACAGTCTTACAAGAAGAATGCCAAGCTCTTAGCACAGCTGCAACACTGCGAGGAAAACGGCATCCCGCTGGCAATAATCATTGGGGAAGGCGAATTAGCAAAGGGTGAAGTTACATTGAGAGTTGTCTCGACACGAGAGGAGACTCGCGTGCTACGTAGCAACCTCATTGATGAAATACAGAGACAATTAAAATTATCATAGCACCCTCTATATTCAACCTGTTGCTGTTGAGAGATCTACATCAGTACAAGAAAATACTTATATTGCATTTAGTTTCATTTAAATTGGCGTGTTGGAACAGTTTATTTATTACATTTTATATGAATTTATTTGTATTATTTCGCATCACGTGCTACGACCGTGATAAACTTTTTGTCACCGACAGATGCTAACTGTGAAGTTATACAAGTGAATACACGAGGTAGTGTAACTACACTTACCAGGTGTGAACACATAGGTACAATTTCTACATGATTAATCCTTTAATAATCCGAATTTCTCCGGGTGAAATTCAGAATTTAACCGGATCTTAATTTAACTGGTAATAATTCACAGCTTCGAGTTACCGCTCGAAAAACCAAATACATCTTTATAATTTATTCTGTAAGAACTTATCAATAAAATATTGTGTAAATTTCATAGAACGTGCCTGATTCCTTTTTTTACTACATTGATTTCAAACTGATTTCAAGATTTAATAGGATAAATATCACACGAGTGACTGTAATAAATGTCCAAGTTACAAGATCGTAACTGGTAATATTTAAACTGTGATACAAAATGTTAATTTGCAAGTTACTTCGACTGATGTGATTTACGTTTTAACTTAATAATAAATTTTCAAATCGGGATCGAATTTTAATTCAATGGAAAATATTTTTCTGTTTTCATTAGTTATTTAATATTTTCACATAATTTACTTATATAATAATTTGTTTTTCATATAATTTATTTCAATATTATATTGAGGATACATATGGTATATCTTACTCATTATATCACAGTCTTCTCTTATCAAGTTTAAATTAAAACTTAATAATTTAAATATTTTAATTTACTTACTCTAATAATTATCATTATATTAGCATGCATTATCAGTATTTCATAAAATATATATTTCTCGTCAAAATTGTTACAAATTCGACTAGTCTGAAAAAATTAGGTGTTTATACATATCGATGAAAACAACTTCCCAGAAAATCAGTCACCTAATCATTGAATCGTATTTTTTCCGGAATTTGCATATTGATGAATGCATTTGTATAAAATTATATTTTTTTCTACCTACAGTCTCTTTTAATAAATTACGTATTGTTTTAGAGCAAAATGCAAATTAAATACTTATAGTAGAAAGTTTTTGAACTAACGTATAAAATTTTATCCTATTAATAGGATATCATTTCTTGCATAATAATATATGCACAATAATATATGCAACAAAATTGCAAATTTCTAACGGGCAAGATTCCCATAATGATTTTATATGTTGTCCTTTGTTATAATTGAGAAAAAATGGATTAGTTTTTGCAAAATGTAGAATCAATCTTTTTCTAACAAATATCAATTATCCGTAAATGTAGTTTGTATAAAATTAACTTATAAAACTATTAATTCTTGACATTTGTTTTAACTAAATTTGATTCAGATTTCTATTTTTTAAATTAGATAAAACACTAACAATAAGTTTCTTTAATTGTTGGAGCATAGCATGATTTTGTGTTCCTATTTTATTTTTTACCAGATTTTTCAATTTTAACTTCTTTTAAGTCTGTATCTTCTTCCTTCTGACTAGCCCTTGTCATAGCTCTGTATTGCTCGAATGGATTAATTGTTGGTTTTTCTATTGTCATTTGAACCAATGGCTTGTACGAGTCTATCGACACACTAGGCTTCCCTTTCTTTGCTTCTGGAGATTTTCCACTACTCGTTGAAGCATTTAAATTATCACTTATATCAATTATATGTGTGTCATCTTGTTTCTGTTCCATTTTAAACGAAACCTGTTTAGCATCCACATTCGTCTCTTGCATCCCTTTTTGAAACGTTCTATCCAGCTCATCATTCAATTTTACTAATTTCTGTTCAAACACAGAGGAGGATAACGGTTTGCAGATAGGTTCACAAATTGATACGGAATCCCTCCGGGGATATATTTCATCATTATGCGTGCTTAAAATCATGGGCTGATTTAATTCTGCGCGTGGCTCATTGGAAATATCGAAAACAAAGGGATTAATCAACGGAATTACGCCTTCCTGATCCTTCCTTGATGTTATTTGCTTATCTTCTGAAGGAACTACCATGGAATCCTGAAGTTCATTTTTCAAGGTCATATTCATCTCTTCCGCAGGTGACATAATGGTCACCGTTTTCGAGGTGCTCGGTTTGCTAATATCAACAGTCTTAGTGTTATCTATAGCGAGAGGACTGAGAGGAGGAGTGGTTTTTTCGCGTTTATCGGAATAAACATCACTGAGACTGAACGCCCTGGCGCGACGACGTAGATTCATTTGAGTGATCTGTCGCTGAAGCATACCCGCTTTCCATTTTAGCAGCGGTTTAGGCGTGTGCAACGGCGAAGGCGTGGACTTAGTGCTCGTCGGACTCTGTTGTATGCTAAGTTGAGCAGGTCTTATGGAGAAACGTTGGTTATTGGATGGCTGTTGGATCGGCAACGAAATTCCCGGTGGTCCCTCCATATTCACAAGTGGTTCCTTCGGCGATACGGAAATGAAAGGTTCTATTGAAACGGGTTCTTGAAGATTTCGACCATCTATTTTTTGAGAGAGTCGTAGCTGAAAAATAGTTTTATTTTATAAAAAAGTGTCAAGCTTATACTTTCATTTATATTACATTTTTAATTACTATACATTATTAAGTCTTATTTTAAAATTTATTTCAAGATTTTAAATTTGTAATAGTTGTGAGAATTTTATACTTGTAAAATTTTATAAAAACAGGAATTTCGGTAATGAAAGCTTACCGATAATCGTGGTGATCCTAAATCTGCAGGCGGCGTTGGAGGATCACTCACTGGAGTCGCGACTGGCCTCAAAGAGAATCTCCTAGGCTTTACAGGAACACTTCCCTTTCTGACATAAGATGTAGGCGTACTGACGCCAGAATAATTGTTATCAGGCAATTTGAGAGACATTCTTCTGCTCGATTGCGCTCCCGTGATGGTGTTTTGATTGCTCTGATTTGCCGAAACAGAACCAGGCGTATTTGAGAAAAGAGTAAAAAGACTAGGTAACTTCGGCGGGCTCAAGCAGGCCGTTCCTAGTTTTCTTTTGGGTTTGGTAACGTAATCATCTGGAACTGTTCCTACTCGTGCGTGAAGAGCGGTTAAAGCTCTAAGAAATTCTGCCAGACTCGTCTCTTCCAGTATATTGTTGTTTTCCAGATAATTCGGTAGGTTGCCACCCGTATGTGTATAGTAATGCGGTCTCCTCGAGATCGAATCGTGCCGTTCATCTAAATACGAGGGCAGTGGACCGATTGAATTATTCTGCTGATTGCTTTTCTCATTCTCATCTGTTATTTCAACGGCTTTTTCTGTATTTCTTGTATTAAAACCAACGTCCGACGATCTCTTATTCGCGAATTGTTTTTTCCACCTGGGAAAGAGGTTCTTAGACGCGGTAAGTGGCAAAGCGAGTGACGTGAACTTCTTGTATGGCTTGCTGGGATTGTCCTTAGAAGATGCGGTCGTGTCATTATTCTTCATCATCTCTTGCAACTTTGTCGAGGCTACTCCGGACCAGGTCCATTCGGTATTACGTTGAACGGAATCGTCTTTCGTAGTATGCAGTCGTATTTCGCTGGCTGCCCTAGATCGAGGCTTGGAGAATGGAAACTTTTCACCGCCAATTGTCCAGTGAGAGACATTGTTGGCTGGGCCTTGATCAACCGATTTACTATGCGTCTCATTCTGCGTGTCGGTTTGTTCCTCAGTTTGGTCCCACTCAAAGTCATCCTGTGGAGGTATGTAACCGAGGATGTTGACCAAGCTCGCTAAAAGTTCAGCTGGTTGTACTATGGCGTGCGCGGCGAATGTCGCGTTTTTGTCTATCCTTTGAAGATCCGTCTCGGACACCACACGAGTCAGTTCGTCCTTTAAATAACGTGTTATTTAAAATATTATAGTATTTAACAAGAGATGATAATATTATTATGGCTTACCACTGGCACCACTTCGCTGTTAGCTCGTCGTCGCGGATGCGGTATATCCACATATCCACCAATTGTTAAATCTCGGAGATTCGGAAAACTGTTGCTGCGTGGAAATTTCGCTGGAGGTTCTTCGGATTCGTATTCATCCACATATACTCTCTGATAAAAAATCAAATTTATAATTGATAATTAATATACAATACTATATTATAAGTTATTATATCAAATTATTAAAAATATCTCAATACGAGAAATACAATTAGAGTAATAAAAAAGTTATTCAATATAACATACACACACAGATAAGATAATTTCATAATATTTATTAATAATTAAATTTTCTTAGGACTTATATAAAAAAATGAAAAGAATAATAAAACAAATGTTCTTCATAGAAATGTATGAAGATATTTTCGTGACAAAAATACGAATATGTGGTTGCTTAAGGTTATCTGGTTCAACCATCAGGTCACTTACTTTGACCTTAGAGAGTTGTAACTCGTTGAAAACGCGGCGCAGGTAGTTGACCTCTTTATTAAACTCGTTCCAAATCTTACTCTGCGTAAGCTTGAGATTCATCGCCAGTTTGTGCTCGAGCCTTGTAATCTTTTTACTGCGCATACCACGAGCGATGAATGTCATTATCATAACGATGTAGCCCAGCCCGAAGGAGATCCAGCAAATTAGGAATATCTTATACAGTATGAAGAATGGACCACTTCCCTTTGTATTGTCCTGGCCTGCGAGATTCAAATAGAAAGTTAACAATAGCGAAATATCTTCTGCATACAACACAAAAATTTCTTTCATTTTCTCCATTAATTTCCAATCGTATTTGATTTCAATTAATTTTGAAAATGTTTGCTTTGAATAAGTTTTATTTGAAAGTTATAAACAGATGTTTCAATTGTATTTATTGCTAGCTGATCGACTTATTTGTTTAATTCTTATACTCCATATTTTATTTGTAATTACATTTTTCCAGGGAATGGGAAGTTACTTTTTAAAAGTAACTAGTTACAGTTACTCGTTACCGAGTAAAAAATGTAACTAGTTACAGTTACAGTTATCGCTTTTTAAAAGTAACTCGTTACAGTTACCGTTACTTGAAAAATAACTTTCCGTTACTTTT